GCCCTCTGTCAGATGTGTGGTTGGTGAAGACTTTTTCCCATTTTGTGGACTGCTGTTTTGCCTTGTTGACTGTGTCCATTGATACAGAAGCTTCTCAGTTTCTGGTGGTCCCATTTATTAATTGCCAATCTCAGTGTCTATGCTACTGGGGTTATGTTCAGGAAGTGGTCTCCTGTACCAATTCATTCAAAGGTACCTCCCACTTTATCTTCTAAGAGGCTCAGTGTGGCTGGATTTATGTTGAGGTCTTTGATCCATTTGACTTAAGTTTTGTACAGAGGGATAGATATGGATCTATCTGCAGTCTTCTACACGCCAGCATCCAGTTGTGCCAACACCATTTGTTGAAGATGCTTTATTTTTTCCATTGTATAATTTTAGCTGCTGTGTCAAAAATCAGGTATTCATAGGTGTGTGGGTTAATAGCAGGGTTTTCAATTCAATTCCATTGGTGTACCTGTCTATTTTTGTGCTAATGCCAAGCTGTTTTCAGGACAATAGCTCTATAATAGAGCTTGAAGTCAGGGATGGTGATGTCTCCTGAAGTTCTTTTATTGTACAGGGTTGTTTTGGCTATCCTGGGTTTTTTGTTTTTCAAAATAAAGTTGAGTATTGTCCTTTCAAGGTCTATGAAAATTTGTGCTGGAATTTTGATGTAGATTGCATTGAATCTGTAGATTGCTTTTTGGCAAGATTGCCATTTTTACTATGCTGATCCTGCTTATCCATGAGCATGGGAGATCTTTACATTTTCTGGTATCTTCTTTAATTTCTTTCTTGAAAGACTCAAAGTTCTTGCTATATAAGTCTTTCACTTGTTTGTTTAGCATGACCTCAAGATATTTTATGTTGTTTCTGGCTTTTGTGATGTGTTAGGAGTAAGGTTTTTCCCTGTAGGCCTGGACCCATAGCTGCGCCAGCCCCAAATAATACACAGAGATGCTGTATTTGATATAACGCTGTTGGCCTGTTACTAGTTTCTTATCTGCTAGCTCTGTCTTAAATATTAACCCATTTTTACTAATCTAAGTGTTTCCACGTGGTTTTATCTTACTGGAGAGAGAGCCCGGCGTACTACCCTGTAGGCCCTCCATCTTGGATCTCTCTCCTACTCTTTCCTCTCTCCTCCTAGTTTCCTAGTCCCATCTATCTTGCTTTCCTATTGGACAACAGTGCTTTATTCATTAACCAATAAGAGAAACATATTTACAGAATACATCTCCCATCAGTGATGTTTCTCTGATTTCTTTCTCAGCCCATTTATCGTATGTATATAATAGAGCTTATCAGTGTATATAATAGTGTTTATCAGTATAGGTGTTTCTTGCTAGGATTTTTTTTGGGTCACTTGTGTAAACTATCATATCATCTGCAAATAGTGAAAGTTTGACTTCTTCCTTTCTAATTTGTATCACCCTGTACTCCTTTTGTTGTCTTATTGCTCTAGCTATTGAACAGTTTGGACAGAGTGGACAACCTTGTCTTGTTCCTGATTGTAGAGTTGCTCTCCATTTAGTTTGATGTTGGCTGTTGGTTTACTGTATATTGCTTTTATTATATTTAGGTATGTTCCTGTTATCTCTGATCTCTCTAAGACCTTAATCATGAAGGGGTGTCAGATTTTTGTCAAAGGCTTTTTCAGCATCTAATGAGTTGATCATAAGGTTTTCTTTTTCAATTTGTTTATATAGTGGATTACACTGATGGATTTTCATATATTGAATTATCCCTGCATCCCTGGGATGAAGTCTACTTGGTCATGGTGGGTGATTTCTCTGTTGTGTTCTTGGATTTGACTTGCCAGTATTTTATTGAGTATTTTTGCATCAATGTTCATGAGGGATATTGGTCTGTAGTTCTCTTTCTTAGTTGTGTCTTTGTGTGGCTTTGGTACCAAGGTAATTGTAGCCTCATAAAAAGAGTTTGGCAATGAACCTTCTGCTTCTATTGTGTGGAATGACTCAATATTCTTGTGACTTTTACAACCTGTTGTACTTTGAATGCCCTATGTCCCCTATGTATTTGAACACTTGGTCCCCAGCTGGTACTATTTGGGAAGGTGATAGGACATTTAGGGAGTGGAGCCTTGAAGAGGAATTGTGCCTGTCTGTCACTGAGGGTGGGTTTCAAAGGTTTCCTCTTGCTCTGCTACCTGTGTATGGATGATAATGTGATAAGCTGGCTTTCCTGCTCCTGTAACCATGCCTTCTCCACCATAATTACTCTGTTTCCCTGGAACCATAAACTAAAATAAACACATTCTTCCTTAAGTTGCTTTATCAGGATGTTTTATCACAGCAACAGAAGTAACTAAAATGGGATCTAGCCCTGCTTCCTTGCCATGACCAACAAGGCCTGGAGTGATCTGGGCCCTCCCCCATCAATCACTACTTAAGAAAATGCTGGACCTTATGGGGCATTTTCTCAATTTAGATTCCCTCCTTTCAGATGACTCTAGCTTTTGTCAAGTTAACATTAAACTACACAGTGTAAGGAGAGTCCATGGGTCATTTTTGTTCAATCCAACAGCTCCTACAATAAATAATCATGAATTTGGTGGCTTAAAACAACAACAATTTATTCTGGAGTCTGTAAGTACAGGCATCGGAAGGGCTGTGGTCTCTCTGGAGACTTCTCTAGCTCCTGTTGTATATAAAGTTGTTTGGGGCTAGCAAGGTGGCTGGGTGGGTAAAGGTATTTGCTGCCAAACCTGACATGCTGAGTTCAGTCTCGGAGAAAACTGACTCCCACAAGTTGTTATCAACACATGCACTGTGGCACATAGATGCAGACACACACACACACACACACACACACACACAAATTTTTTGATTAAAGTTCACAGTACTTATTGTTTACCTATCCACCATCTACTGAATTAATCAATCTTCCTGATTTTGGGTTGTCTAACTCTAAAGAATGTAGTCTTCATTTCATGTATCTCCAATAACAAAAACTGGTTAATGTCTAATTTAATGTAATCATTTAATGTGATTTTTTCCTAGGATCTGTACCCGTGTTGAGATGCTCTGAAAAATAGCAGCTGCTTCAGGAATGTCTATTGTCATCAGCTTCTATTTTGTCATTGTCTTAGAACTGATACCTATCACAACCCAATTGTCTGATGGAAGTGAGCTTATCATTAAGATACCAAGAGCAAACCTCACCCATGTGCCCAAGAACCTACCCTTGACAACAACTACTTTAGATCTATCACAAAACAATATATCTGAGCTTCAGACTTCTGATGTCCTCTCATTGTCCAAGCTGAGAGTCTTGATGATGTCCTATAACCGACTCCAGTATCTTGATATTGGTGTTTTCAAATTCAACACAGAGCTGGAATATTTGGATTTGTCCCACAATGAGTTAAGGGTGATTTCTTGTAACCCAACAGTCAACTTCAAGCACTTAGACCTCTCATTCAATGCTTTTTATGCTTTGCCTATATGCAAAGAGTTTGGCAACATGTCCCAATTAAAATTTCTGGGACTGAGTGGTAGCAAGGTACAGAGTTTCAGTGTGCACCCGATTGCTCATCTGAATATCAGTAAGGTTTTGCTGGTTTTAGGAGACACTTACGGGGAAGTAGAAGACCCTGAGAGTCTTCAGCACATTAGCACTGGGAGTCTGCACATTGTTTTCCCTGAGAGAAGAGAATTTTGTTTCAGTCTGGATGTGTCAGTCAGCACAGCAATCAGCTTGGAACTATCTAACATCAGGTGTGGACTTGAAGACAAGGAGTGCTCTTATTTCTTAAGGGCTTTGTCCAAGCTTAGAAAGAATCTGAGGCTATCAAATCTTACCTTAAACAATGTTGAAACAACATGGAATTCCTTCATTAATATCCTCCAGGTTGTTTGGCATACACCTGTAAAGTATTTCTCAATTTCAAACATGAAACTACAAGATCAAGTTGACCAAAGAAGTTTCAATTATTCTGGTACTTCCCTGAAGGCTTTGTCCATATATCAAGTGGTCAGCGATGTGTTCAGTTTCCCACAGCATTATATATATGATATCTTTTCCAATATGAACATCCAAAGTATCACAGTGTCTGGAACACCCATGTTTCACATGGTTTGCCCATCTCAAGCTAGCCCATTTCTGTATTTGGACTTCAAAGATAACCTCTTAACAGACATGGTTTTTAAAGATTGCAGACACTTAATCAAACTGAAAACACTCAGTTTACAAAAGAACAAGTTGAAAAAACTTGAAAATATAATTCTTATGTCTGCTGAGATGACATCGCTACAAAAACTAGACATTAGCCAGAATTCTCTAAGGTACGGCGAGGGGGAAAGCATATGCTCCTGGACTGGGAGTTTGCTGGTTTTAAATTTGTCTTCAAATATGCTTACTGGCTCTGTCTTCAGATGCTTACCTCCCAAGATCGAGGTCCTTGACCTTCACAACAACAGAATAATGAGCATTCCTAACGATGTCACCCTCCTGCAAGCTCTACAGGAACTCAATGTTGCATCCAATTCTTTAACAGACCTTCCTGGATGTGGGGCCTTCAGCAGCCTTTCTGTGCTGGTCATTGAGCATAATTCAGTTTCCCATCCCTCAGCAGATTTCTTCCAGAGCTGTCAGAAGATCAGGTCCATAAGAGCAGGAAACAACCCATTCAGATGTACATGTGAGCTGAGAGAATTTGTCAAAAACATAGGCCAAGTATCAGAAGTGGTAGAGGGCTGGCCCGATTCTTACACATGTGACTCCCCGGAAAGTGCTAAGGGGACCCCATTGCAGGACTTCCACTTGTCTCCATTGTCCTGTGACACTGTTCTGCTGATTGTCACCATCGGGGCCACTTTGCTGGTGCTGGCCATCATCGTAGCTTTCCTCTGCCACTGCTTTGATCTGTCCTGGTATCTAAGGATGATGTGTCAGTGGGCACAGACCCGGCACAGGGCCAGGAACATCCCCATAGAGGAACTCCAGAGGAACCTCCAGTTCCATGCTTTTGTCTCATACAGTGGGCATGATTCCACCTGGGTGAAGAATGAATTAATACCAAACCTAGAGAAAGATGACATACGGGTTTGCCTCCACGAGAGAAATTTTATCCCGGGCAAGAGCATCGTGGAGAATATCATACATTTCATCGAGAAGAGTTACAAGTCCATCTTTGTGTTGTCTCCACACTTCATCCAGAGTGAGTGGTGCCATTATGAACTCTACTTTGCCCATCACAATCTCTTCCATGAAGGGTCTGATAACTTAATCCTGATCTTGCTGGAACCCATTCCACAGTACTCCATTCCTAGCAACTACCACAAGCTTAAAACACTCATGGCACAGCGGACTTATTTGGAATGGCCCATGGAGAAAAGCAAACATGGACTTTTTTGGGCCAACCTAAGAGCAACCATTAATGTCAAGCTGGTTAACTAAGCAGAAACCATATGTCACATACAGCAATAAGAATCTAAGCGACAGTGGAGAAGCTACCTTAAATGCCCTTCCTCTATAATGAGATTGATGACTACCTTAAATGCCATCCTAGAAGTTTCATCCAGTGACTGATGGAAGCAGAAGCAGACATCCACAGATAAACACTGAGCCATGCTCCTAGAATTCAGTTGTAGAGAGGGAGGAGTAATGAGCAAAGGGGCCAAGACCACCTGGAGAAAACCACAGAAACAGCTGACCTGACCACATGGACCCTAGTCATAAAACTGGAAAACCAGCATTGAACCAAACCAAACCTTCTGAATGTGGGTGTCAGTTAGGAGGCCTCTGATAGTGGAACCAGTATTTATCTCTAGTGCACAAATGGACTTTGGGAGCCCATTCCCCCCATGGAGGGCTACTCTCTCTGCCTAGGCCCACCCCCAAATGATATGACAGACTCTGATGATCCCCCATGGGATGCCTTACCCTTCCTGGGGAGTGGATGGAGGGGTGCAATGGAGGATCAGTGGGAGGCATGGGAGGATGGGAGGGAACTAGGATTGATATGTAAAATAAGGTTGTTTCTAAATTAAATTTTAAAAGACTAAAAGAATAAAGAATAGTCATTTCATAGCGATTGCTTCTTTGGGCAGTTCTGATAATGGTGTTTATTTTGACATTATGATGCAGGAATTTGTGCTTAAAGCCCCAGTTTACTACTAGTGTGTGGTAATAAAAATCAGTGAGTGCCATATTGTGTATGGAAATCATTCACTTCTTTTTAAAAGAAAATATTGTTTTGTACATATAGGTATCTTGCCTGCATGCATTTCTGTATACCACATGCATGCATGGTGCCCTCAGAGACCAGTTGAGGGCAGTAGAGTGGAATTACAGACAGTTGTGAGTTTCTATGTGGTTGCTGGGAATTGAACCTGGGTCCTCCAAAAGAGGAGCCAGTGCTCTTAACTGCTGAGCCATCTCTCCAGCCCCAAGGTCATTAATTTCAAACACTTAAGGGATTCATTTGTTTCTTTGCTATTTCATTGAATTTTCTGTAGAACTTGCAAAAGCCCTTCTGCAGATGTGTGTATTTCTGTGTGCTGGGTCAACATTAGAAAAACTCCAACTGGATTCACTTCAGGTTCACTTTCCCATCATTCTTTCTCGGTTTGCCTTCTGAGTCCCAGATAGTACTCTTAGGCCCCGATAGTACTTTCCCACATAAATTGCCTGTATGTAAATTTTCATCTCTGTTTTCACTCTCTAGAGGGGTTGAAGGGCAGAGGATGGCATAGTCTACACATGACTATGTGTACTGATAATCCCTTGGTCTAAGGAACACACAGTGAATCCAGGAAGCCTGCATGTCTCCAGACACAGAAAGAGTAATGAAATAAGGACATACAGTGAAGTTCAGAGACTATTTAACATGTCCATCTTAGAAATAATAGGTAGTTAATCTCAACGCCTAGGTGACAGAGATAGATGGATCTCTGTGAGTTCAAGGCCGCACTAGTCTATACAATGTCCAGGACAGCCAGGGTTCTGTAGAGAAAGCCTGTCTCAAAACAAACAAAAACAAGACAAAAAACCCTGAAGTCATAGGTTAGGCTTTCCATTGGGTCTTGAAGGAAGGGTCAATAAGGAATGGTGAAGAATGAAAAGGCCATTAGAATAAAGAGCAAAGGCTTGGATACTCAGACTTACTCTAGAGCTGATATCCCAGTGTAGATAACAAATAAGACTAGTACAAATCATTGACTGCTAAATAAAACCATATTGCAGTCAGTCATGGTAGTGCATGTCTGAAATCCCAGCAACCTCAGGCTGACATAGGAGGTTGCTGAATTTTAGGCCAGCCTGGGCTACATAGTTAGCTCTATCTCCAGGAGAGAGTGGAAGAGAAATAAAAGTGGGAGCATATTGTCAAGGTGTTAAGTAGACTCCTGAGTCAGACCTGGGATTTATGAAACACAACTTAACATCTATGAAAGAACAATGGGATGTGAACATCAGCTATGAACCTGTTATTCCATAATGGCATTGCAACAGTCATTCTAAGTGGATTCTTCTATTTCCTCTGGGCCTGCTACACTTCCCAAATTACCCTTCTAGATTTCACAATCCTGTTTCCACTCCTTCGTAAGTTAGCTTTGGGGAACACATGTAGAAACCAAGTTTGCATAGACTGAACAGTTCAAGTTTCTTGACTCAGGGTCCTAGGGCTGGATGCCATGGTGAGGATGGGCTTGGCTCCTTGTGAGATCAGGGAGGGAAGGGCCTGCTCCCTGCCCCTTCTTGATTTGTATTTGGCCATTTTCTCCCTATGTTTCTTCACTTTGTCTTCCCTGTTTGCATGTCTGCTTCTGTGTGCTGATTTCCCATTTTCATACAGACACTTATGGTTTGACACTAATGTAATTATGCCTACAGCATTCCCATTTCCATGAAAGGCCTCATTCTGAAGTATTGAGATTCATGGGTGCAATCTGTGAATTTGGAAGGTACTGTTCAGCCCCTAGCACCTCATAAGTCTGAAAGGCAGTCTCTGTAGGGAGACGCAAAGACTCTGACAGTTTAACCAGCAAAGTCAGGATTTTGAGACATCCGATCCAGTCCCATATGTAGACAGCTGGACTAATGAGCAGCTTCATGGCAAGAGGCTGTGGTTACACTTCTTTTGGCATCTCCTGCCAAAGAATTCCAAGCTGAGAGATAAAGAATTTGGGTCAAAGCTTAGATAAAAATGAAGCAATGGAGGAAAGAAACAGATAAATGAGAAGAAATATAGAATTCAGCCAAGTGGTGGTGGGGCATGCCTTTAATCCTAGCACTTGAGAGGTAGAGACAGGCCCAAGTTTGAGGCCACCCTGGTCTACCAAGTTCTAGGACAGCCAGGGCTACACAGATACCCTGTGTCAAATAAACAAACAAAAAATAAAGAAAGGAAGGGAGGGAGGGAGGGAGGAAGGGAGGAAGGATAAAATGAAGGAGACAGGTGCTGGGAAATGTTTTAAAGAGACACATTCTCACATCCTCTATCCAAAGTGGGGTTCTTCAAACAGAAGGTAGGCAGGATGTTCTGCTCCACCATGAGATTCTCTAGGTGTTAATGCCTGGTTTTTAAAAATTCACTTGTCTGGGGATTAGGCGATAAATCTGTTGGTGAAATGCTTGCCTTACAAACACAGGGACTGAAAAACTGAAAGGTTGGGGATTAATGGCATTGGTAGAAGAGATTTCAAGACAACCTTGTATTGACTGTGTCATGTGGTTATTAGTAATAATGAAAGGAGCAAGCTGTGCAAGGAGGAAATGTACAGATGAATACAAATGTACAGAGGAGAAGGGGCCACCAGAAAGTGTAATGGAGGTAAGTCCTGTGCTCAAGGGGATAAGAAGATTAACCAAAGCCTGATACTAAATGGAATACAGGAAGTGGTGACTTTAGGGCAGCACCTCACCCAGCTAAGCTTCCAACTTGTGAAAAGGAATTAAAGAAAAACTTAAACAGTGAAGGAAACGCTCAAAACAGACAGCTGGTGAAGATGCAATTGCATAAGAGGACCACGTTTCAGCCCCATCATGCAGCAGAGCTTGGCAGCTTCAGCCATGTGGTTCTGGCTTTAGAGTAAAGGTTGTAAAAAAGGAGTTATAGAATTTCCCTCAGCAGCTAAAGAAAGCCACTGAATCCAGGCTTGTGTAGGGGGTATCTCTTAATGGAAGTTCAGAGAGTCTATTGTGTGAAGTTGTGAAGGTGAAGCTTGGATTTTATTGGAGACCCCAAAGTGTTGGAGAAGCCGGAGTCATGGGATACCTCCCAATAAGAGCTGCAGACAGATAGTGGAACCAGCCCAAGAGAGAGAAGTGTGCTGCGGTCAACAAAAGGGAGGAGTTGGAAACCTGAAGAGTGCTTAGACGATGGAGACGTAGCGTCTGTGTTTTAGGTCTTTGTCTTGTCCAGTGTTTTCTCACTGTGCTCTGTTCCCTCCCTTTTGGAATGGTTATGTATATCCTGTGCCATTATGTTGGAAATATGTAATATGCTTTTTGATTTACAGGGGATTACAGTTAAGAGATTGCCATGAGTCCCAGAAGAGACTTAGGGCTTTTAAATGGTGTCAATACTGTGATAAACTATGGGGACTTTGGAAATTGGACTGTGTGCATTTTTGCATTATGATATAGCTACAAGCCTAGGGGCCTAGGAAATGGAATGTAGTGTTTTGAATAGTGATGGCTCCTATAGGCACATATAATTGAATGTTTGGTTATTAACTTGACAGGGCATAACTTGACAGGGATTTGAAGGTGTGTTCTTGTTGGGGTGTGTATGGCCTTGTTGGAAGAAGTGTGTGTCACTAGGGGTGAGCTTTGGGGTTTCAAATGTTGAAGCCAGACCCAGTGGCTGTCTGTTCCTGCTGCCTGTATGTTTGGATGTAGAAGTCTCAGCTACTTCTTCAGCACCATATAATTGCCTGAATGCTGCCATGCTTTCCACATGATAACAGACTAGATCTCTGACATTATAAGCCAGCTCCAACTGAATGCTTTCCTTTATAAGAGTTTCTGTGGTCATGGTGTCTCTTCACAACAATATAACAGTGACTTAAGACACTAGTACACGATGGCAGAAGGTGGTATCTGTTAATTTGGTAACTTTAAGTATATTTTAAAATTCTGAGTTAGACAGCTGTTTGCAAGTGTAGTGTTTCTCAAATACAACACATACATAGAAAAATAAAGCAAATAAAGTGAAAAAGTAACAAGTACGATACTAGGTTGTCACAGTGTGTGATGTGGCAGTGAGCAACATATCAGAATTTATACAGAACAAAAAGTAAACCCTGAACAATTTAGCCAAAAGACAAAGGTTGCTGTGGGAAAAGTGAACTACTGAGTTATAAGAAATGCTCGTTTTGCTAATATTTATCTATTTCCTTGTATATATGTGGAGGTGCTGGTGACACACACCCTGATGTATGGGTGTGGGTGTCAGAAGACAACTTTGTGAGGCTGACTCTCCACTTCACTTTTGCATGGGTTCTGGCGACTGAGCTCAGGGCTTGTACAGAAAGTGTCTTTGTCACCTGAGCCACTTTACCAGTCTGTGGTTTGTATTTGAGACAGTCTTATGTATTCCAGTCATTACATAATTGAGGGTGATAACCCTCTTGCCTCAACCTCCCCATTACCGAGGTTAATGAAGTGTGCAACTAAGCCTGAGTGTGTTCACTTGTCCACCACAGATGTAAGCAACACAGATACAGCAGTGTACCGATAAATGCCTAGCAATTGATGCCCAAGGGGAGAAGGAGGCTTTTAAAAATTATTCATTACTTTATCTAGAAATTTGATAAAACAATGACTAGCATTCTGACTTTTCTGATTGATGTTTGCCAATTTTGTTACACACACACACAGACACACACACACAAACTTCATGATCAATTTCAAAGTGTCAATGTGACTTCATTGAAGGTGGAGTTGGAAAGAGATGGGCATGAATGTCCCAGTATAGTGTTTCCACCAAGCTGATACAGTAGGGGGAAAGGCTCTCTAGGACACAACCATGGTGACTTGTAATAGAATGATCAGACACAATCGCAGTGAGCACAAGGTAGAATGAT